AATTCATCTCTCAGTAGGAAAGGTCATAATGTGTGAAGAATTCATTACAGACTAACAATGGATATTATTTATTTGATATGCAAAATCAGGTACATTTGGGCACCAAATATGTATATACCACATAAATAAGATAATAATTTGGAAGATGCAGTATAATAGTATAGATTCAAACAAACAATACTAAATGAATTCAAACTTCACCCCATCGCACAAGCAAGTGGCTAGGGTGGATAACGAGATGGCGTTTGAAGTGAAAGGTACTAGGTTCGAGTGAACAACAACTGCGAGATCCAGGTACATCTAGGTGACAAGTCCCAAATAGGACGAAACGCGCGTCCTGGATTCCACTGCTAGTCACTATCTATCTTCGCTCACAATATTCACTGATTGACTAAATATTTTGGAAAACGTTTTTTTCATCAAATAATAATTTCCAATACTTGAGATCATGAGTCAACTGAAGCTAGATCACCATCGAAAAACTGGAAGCACTGGAAGGCCGTTTCATCCTATTGCGGGACTCCTCAGAGTTGCGCGAGATTCGAACTCAGGACCTATCAGTCTTGCGCACGAGCGCTTAGCCTCTAGAACACTAAGCTGGCCGGCATCCAACGGTGTTAATGTCTAACTTCAACTGATCTAAAATAAATGTATCCTTGAATAACTGATGAAATAAATCGATTTGTGCCGTTATGATAATAAATTGTATTGAATAATATGAATCGATGGTGTGACTATAATTTATAGACGAATCAATCAAAATTAAGATAGCAGATCTTCGATTTTAGCGCGAAATTCATCTACTCATTTGATTAAATACTATTTTGACATTATAGCACATATCAGTTAGTGATGAAAATGTTAAATCCAATTTCTAAACCTGACAATTAACTGTAAATTATAATTCTTCATACTAGTTTATAACTTTCCTTTAGCTCTAGTTAGTAGGTGGACATTCTGAAGGTCAATTTAGCGTCACTCAAAGGTCATTCATAAATTATAGTCTCACTGTTTAAACTATTGATTTTTAATTCAAACCCATTTTTTATCGGTAGTAAGTTGTCAATTAAAGTACCATGTTTCGTTTACAGGTTACACGTAATATCGTTGATGTAGGTTGTAATATTGTATAAGTTGGTTAAAACGTAACTTTTATCCGATGATGGATCACTTTCATGGTAATTCTATATAGATAATTAAATTGTTTTAAAGGTATTTTGCTCAATGAACTGGTTGGTTTAGTTGTGAAACTTCCATTGCCTTTCTAACAAGCACCAACACTATATATTCCACAAATTGGTTATGTAATGAACGTTAGCCTGATACTTAAGTGAATTAGTTTATGGGGAGGATTATTACTTAATTACGCCCATCAGGATACTCTGACCAACTATGTCCTGAACTCCTTTCCAGTTTATTCTAAGTACTATTCAGCCTTCAGAGGCCATGTGTTCTTTGTCCTACCTTGAAGATATCAAGTTGGGATTTGTCTTGTGATGTAGTTTGATGACATCAACAATATGTCCTATACACCTCAAGCGTCTTACCCTAATTTCCTCTCCAACTACAAGCTGGTTTGTTTTCTGCCACAGTAGTTTGCTACTGCTAGCGTCCGGCCAACTGATTCGCGGAATCTTATGTAGTCAACTGTTTATTAATATCTGCAGTTTTTTGACAATTGTCGTTGTAGTTTTCCATGTTGAGTCTCCGTACAGTGGAACTGTCTTGAAAATTCTAAGATGAGAATCCGTGGGACAAAGTAAGGTGTGACATTTGTGAAGCTGGTCTTTACTGCCGTCACACTTTTGTGCAGTCAGCAGTACGACTTCGCGATTGCATTTTCAGCTAGCGCTTTCGGTTTTGTTTTTCTATAACCAACTTGTCTAGCATTTTAACGCTACAAGAAACGATTAGTTCATTCAACTTGGCCTAACTGGGTGATTACAATGTGCAACCCATACCACCAAACCAACGTAGCAGTTACAGTCAAGAAATGGTACTAGTTATCTTCTGAACTCAACATTCAAATCGTATCTCTATAAGCTATGGGCAATGAATGTAGCGAATCATATAAATCCTTCTATTCCATAGATTCACTTCAACTGCTTGCGACTTGTAAAGTTATAGATAAGTGAACCCATATTATTCTCCTACGTATGCTGTCCTTGTTTGATTCAAATTTATATATATGAATAAGCAACACTTCCTTTCTATCTCGAACTGAAATCTGTTAGTCATAAGCAAAATTAAATAAAAGACCAATCATATTGTACCGCTGTAATGTTCATCATGAATCAGTTTGACCTGTCTTTTCGTGGAAATTTTAATTACCCGTAACTACTCAACTCCGCCTTATTCCCTTCCATTACTATTCATTAAACGTGTTTCAACCTTTTCCTGTAAATAGCCATATTTATTTTCTATCTCTTTATTGTATTATATTTTTACAGTTAAAACTAATAAGTCTCCAAAAGATCATACAAAATTTATTATGTCGACAACGTAATACTAATATACAACAACTCAGTATCAAACTGTAAGGAAGGCTCGTTGGTAAACTCCAGGAAGCCTTCAAGAAGCCCAGAAATAGCAGAAGATATTCCATCCAATCACTGCTAAGGGAATATTCTAGAATGTCGATGTGTAGCTTCCCTATTGGATGGATAAGAATGACCCCCCTATGTGCCTTTTGGTTAACCGAAATGATGATTTACATTCAGCCAATAACTATGAATACATGAGATTTCTGTACTATATTTTGACACTGTTTTGGGGAATAAAGTTTCTACTTAATAGTTCTTCTGTCTTCTCTCTTGCGACGTTGCGGGTTCTATCGTTCAAGTAGTCTAGTAGTACGCGGCATAGAAAGAACCGAGGCTCTAGATACAACACAAACTTCTTGTTAAACGTAGAAGAGCTTTCAAGAAATTCCCTAAATGCTAAGTGTGGTTCGCGGGAACAACACATTGAAAACGACAAGTCTTTTTAAATAGATCAAACGTTTTAGTAATAAGGACAGATCGAGAAGTTACATAGCAAACCAGTATACATATGTTGTTCATTCACGTACAGACACAGAGATCAAAGTGTGTTCACAATTGATGTATTTATTTTATCTTCACGCTCATTTAAATTACGTCAGTAATGTTTTCTCCAGTGTATTAGAATGTACTTTCAAAAAAAATATATGAACTTTCTGTGTTCGATTCTTTCTTACGTTTCACTCGTGAACGTTTATGGTTCAGTTAATATTATACATGAAGTACTGGATTTTATGACACAACGTAGATCAGCTATGAGGAATGTTGAATCTGGTATACATATGTATTGGTTCGGGTTGCTATCGCGCACTAGCACAGAGTACATAAACTATGAAGAAATATTTCAGAGTAGTCAGATGACAGTATCAGTAAAAATGTAAGAGGCTAACACTCGAGAAGAAAGAATAAGTCTGCAAAGTAGAAAATATACGCATTTCACGGACAATAGTAAATTCTTCAGCTATGGTGACCGATTCTGACATAGAACACATTTCTGACTATTGTATATGATAGTCTCACACACCTCAACAAAGTAGTCTGCGCCTACTAGTACCGATTATTCCTACATCCAATAACATAGTGAACTGATGCCGCGATCTTTTTGCCGCTCTTAGCTTTTTTCCAAACTACAACAAGAGATATTTCGCGTAGGGGCAGGCGGTGGATGGGGAGACATCATACATGTCCTAGCCACTACAGACGACTCACTACCTTACCAACCATACAACTATCCGAAATGAAGAGAAAGCAAGGCTATAATATGTTGATGAATACAACTGCCAGCAATAAAATAACACGAATAGAAACCAAAGCTCTCAACCTGAGTAAACTATTTGACAAAACCTTAACTGGTTATAGAAAATAGCCTAAAAACATTTGTAAAATCCACTGGTTCCAAAAAATTCAACTATAACCCATCATCAGGATAAGCCTTTATAATCAGCATTTCGAATTCTTAAGCCCCGAGTAAATCGTGAAATTCGGTAATTTCAAAGTATACATAAAGAAGAAACACCGAGATATTTCACTTATTATCGTTAACAGGTGCAACAGAGAATAAAGCTCTCACATATTAAATCAGTTCAGCAGTTTGAGCTCCGGATTATGGATTATCAATAGTATGGTACAAGTTCAGCTTTACATTATAAGGAAGAGAACCCGTGTTTTCAATGTGCCACCAAATGCCCTGGTACGGTTGAGGGTGGGGAGAGTCACTCCCCTCTCTCGAAATGCTCTCATATGGCCACATGCATACAACCACTGCCAAGGAAGTCCTACTCACTGCCTTCTCGTAGCGGGAGTGTTGTTTACAAAATTGAGAGAACAAATAACAAATGACCGGTGCTTTGACCGGGTTGGTGGAAATTGAGGAGGTTCCAACGAAGGGGAGTTGGAAAAACCTGATTTCGAAACTATGATGCACATGGGCTCCAGAATCCTAAGGAATAAATAGTGTACCAACCAATCGTTGGTCACCGACTACTATGAGACTGCATCTTACGTTGATCCACTACCATGTAGATCTGACCTTTAGGCCGAAGGCTCTGGGTGTGGCCCCTTGAGAGAACCACCTCGTTCGGTGTGGGCAACCGGGAAGTATCACAGTTCACTCATAAATCAAGTGACTTGTGTGACGCATATGTATTCGGTGCTCATTTGTGTCCGAATAAACAAATAAATCCCAAGATCTAATTCACAATGACTCTACATAAGACTTTGATCTTTAAAAAGAATGAGAACGTAATCATTAAGAAGTAATGAATTTTAATAAATTACTTTATGCTAATAAACGTAAAGCATGTTCATGAATGAACTGAATCAAGGATAAATGAAGAATTTTTGCAATTTAATGAAAGTCAAGACGATCGGATTGAAAATGATCACGTATACAAAACATCAGAATTCATTTGATTCACACACACACACACAAACATGCAATCTATGAGATTATGATTTTTATCATAATTGTTGTTGTTGTATACGTGTTTTAATTAAATCTTCTAATAATAAAGCATCTTTAGCAAAACGTCGTATAACATCTGCTAATTTATCATTAGCCATTTCATCTTCATTCATTTGCCAACGAAATTCTTCTTCAGTTAAATATTCATCCGATTGATAAGAATGATCACAAGAGGTTTGAGCTGGGTGTTTTGTTTGTTATAATAAAAAAAATAATCATCATTGATCAATAAACAATAATCCATTTAAATGAAGCACATTGAATTCAAGTGAATATAACAGGAATAATGCGGAAAAAATTTCATCAGTGTATTTTTGTTTGTTGTGCCCCCAAATGCCCTGGTACGACCCACAGTGAGGAGAGTCCGCTCTCCCTATCGAAATGCTCTCATATGGCCACACAAATATATAGCCTTTGTCAGGGAAGTCCTACTCATTGCCTTCTCGCACCAGGGTGTTGTTTACGGAATTGAGAGGACGAAAACCGAATGCCCGGAGCTTTAACCGGGTCGGTTAACACGGAAAGCACACCTAGGGGAGTTGGAAAACCCTGATTCCAAACCAATGGTGCACATGGGCTCCAGTATACTGAAGGAACAAATGGCGTATGGACATATCGTCGGTCACCGGATACCATGGGCTGCATCTCCTCACGATGCTCCACTGCCTTGTGGGTCAGATCTTTCGGTCAAAGTCTCTTGGTGTGGCTCCCTAAGAAAACCACTTGCTACGGTTTGGACACCCGAGTAGTATCACAGCCCTCACACAAATCAAATGAGATTTGTGTAGCGCATATACATCTGGTGCCTCCCTGTACCAATATTTATGTGTTTAAATAATAATAATAATAATAATAATAATAATAAAATTTCTAGGTATATGGTAGTTTTCCGGTCGATATCAATTCTAACATATACATGTTGGCATAAGTTCATACATTTCGCATCAGTATGAGATCAATCGACATGGGAAAAGAAGGTTTAGTCTAAAAAAAACTGAGCATAAACATCGATTGAAGTGTCTTTGTTACATGTGGTATATTCACATTCGTTCTCTAGTTCGTGTGAGATCTTTTTTTCGGTTAGAACACAATTTAAACTAACATTCATGGATAACACTAAGTATATGTACGTATGTACAAAACTCACACTTATCATTCACTGTATATATAGTCGAGTATTGATGACGTCTGTTTTAGATGGTGCATGAAACATTGTAGTATCTCTCTCAAAGATAACTCAGTTAGATGAGTGCGGTATTTCTATGACATGAGTAATAGAAGTGAAAAATTTAAACACAACTCAGTACTAACTAGTAGTATTTGAGTATATTATATATTAGACGAATGCACAGTGCTTTAACTGAGTTTGTGGATATGGAGGATCAACGTAGGGGAGTTGGAAAACCCTTGAAGATACCACCAGTATTGTAGTTTGACAACTATTAACCAGAAACACCTTTTATAATTGAATCGTGCCCACCCAATTAAAATCAGAAGTCAGAAGCGAAGAGGTTGGAAGATATATTTGATGTGTTATCAATATATATAGAGAAGCGATTGATCTGATCTAGCTAATGATCGTAGATGTTTCCCAGGCTGTGCTGTAACGTGATCTGGTGCGGAAGCATGACCGAAAGCCTTAAGCTAAACAAGTCCACTAGAACTAATGTGGTCAGCATTCAATGTCGAACACTTAAAAATCTATTGATTTTGGGGTATTATTTACAGCTACACCCTGATTCCGAAACAATGGTGCACATGGGCTCCAGAATCCTACGGAACAAATGGTGTATGGACCAATCGTTGGCCACCGACTAACATGTGACCGCATCTCCTAAAGTTGTTCAATTGCCTTGTGGATCAGATCTTTAGGTTGAAGGCTCCGGGTTTATCCCTTTATGAAAACCACCTGCTTCGCGGTTAGGGCACCCAAGCAGTATGACAAACCACACACAAATCAAGTAACTTGTGTAAAGCAGTTCACCTCCAAACCACATGTTGTCCTAGTGAAACAATTAAAAATATTATATAATTATCAAAACAAGAGTGGAACAGAGTTTGGATTCATAGCCAAATAAAAACAAATTAAAAATTTATTTACCTTTATCTATAGACAAGCATACGCTGGGCTCTTCTGACATTTTACTTAATTCTTCTAATAGACTAGGTGCTATTGTTAATAAATCACATCCAACTAAACCAAGAATTTGTTCAACATTTCTAAATGAAGCACCCATTATCTAAAATAAACATTAAAAACCAACAATAATATTTAAAAAAACGTCTTGTATAGATGGAAGTATTATCGCTAGGATGATCATTTAAGCGATGTCTGACCTTCAGTAAAAGAAATAATTCCTGTTTCCTGATTGAATCCTATCAACCAATTTCAAGTTGTTAGGAAACGGGTATTAGGTAATGATGGAAAATCAATTGATGAAGTAGTTGAGATGGCTACGACAAGTGTTACGTATGTCCAACAACCGACTGCCCCAACGTTTAATGTTTTATCGTGTAGGAGTAGGTCGCAAGAAAGCTAGGGGCGGTCAGACCAAAACGTGGCACAAATCCATGAAGTCACTGACAATTGGACTGAACCATGCCGGTAGGTGTAAACTACCTGGTTGGGAATCGTGAGATGATAGCAATCGATGGTTAGAGACCTTGAATGACATGGTTCAAAATCGTTTGCAATGGCGAAGGTGCATCCAGTCTTTGTGTTCTACCAAATTCTAATCTTCTGAATTCTTCTTGTCTCTATCTTTTTTCTATTTCCAAATTTATTTTTTGGGATTATACTCCTTCAATAACATCTTCAAACCCTAATCATTCACATAATGCTTATACTCTTACTACTTCTACCACTATGGCATTTGAATCGACACCTGGATCTCTGTGTTAATGTGGTATAGTAACTCGAACTGATGTACGTACGTACGTACAAAGTTCTACGTTGTGACTGATTTACTGACCAATTTACAGTGTATCAATTAATATCTAACTTCATTAACGCCTTAAACATAAATGAATATAAAACATCAAAACAAACCATTTTGTATGAAAAGGATTTTTGTACGAGTTTATATATGTCCATGATTTTCTATTGCTGTATGTCTCTTTTTGTTATGCACTTATACTATTGGTTATTCAACTTTAGAAAGATTTATTATAGAAAAGTATTATCAGTATGTTTTTTTTGTATGTACGCTTAGTAGTGATAATGATAACTATGAGAATTGTCAAATGAATTGACGTAAAAGTCATCAGAAAGAAAAAACGACGACGACGACAACAACAACAATATGAAGTCAAAAGGAACAACTGTTCATATGAAGAAAAAATATTTCATATAGACTATAAGTCATTTATAAATCAACTAAGTAAGCAATGATCATTTTACATATCAATTAAAATGTTTATACACAATCATTCTTTTATAGATTACTACCATTGAAGTAACTTCATCTATGAATTCGATGTGTTCATTTTGTTGTGCTAATCAGGTGTTACAATTTGGATTGATGTATATATGTACCTGATCCTATGTTGTAGCTAACTGACTGGCTGATTTGTTAATGTCAAAATGATCATTTTAACATTCGACAAGAATAAAAGGTGACTTCTAAGGAATAACTATGATAATAATACACATTCAGTTACCATAGTGAATAGATTTTTAGGTAATTTAAAAGATCGAAAACTTTCTTATACTGATTGATCATTGGATAGTTATTATCTAATGTGCCGAACAATAGACAACAACCGTTCGATGCCGGCTTAGTGGTCTAACGCTTAAGTGCTCTGGCTCGAGACTGGTAGGTCCTGGGATCGAATCTCGCTCACAAGGCGGGATCGTGGATGCGCACTGCTGAGGAGTCCCATAATAGGACAAGGCGGCCATCCAGTGCTTCCAGGTTTTCCATGGTGGTCTAGCTTCAATTGACTCATGATTTCAACTATTAAAAAGACAACTTATAACTAATATAGAGCACCCTATAAATATGCGTTAAAATAAGTTGTCATATGATGAAATTAACACAAGATGAGAATAAAGTAAAACAAACTAACAAATTTTTAATATTAATGATGAATAAAAAGGTTGAACAATGAATATGCTATTTGAATAGAAGTGGTGAAAAATTAGGCGATGAAAAGGTAAATACATCTAATCTATAGTAACAGATTTCAGACCGTTTAACGTCACATAACGACTGCAGCTAAATAAACTGTATCCTCCAATATGGTCGGTTCGAGAGTCAACAATCCTATAGACTAACACTGTATTTTTGGGTTTGGATTATCTATTCATACTCTTGAAAGCGGTCTGATAGTAGCCGGTGACCAATGATTGGTCTATACACCGTTTGTTCCTTAGGATTCTGGAGCCCATGTTTACCATTGTTTCGGAGTCAGGGTTTTCCAAATCCCCTTGGTTCTATCCTCCTCCATATCCACAAACCCAGATAAATGGTAGCTAGCAGTGGAATTCACGACGCGTGTTTCTTACTTTTTGGGGTCAGTCAGCTTGATGTGCCTTCATCCTAGAGTCGATATTCACTCCTGGAAATTCAACTTATTGCAAAAAACAGTGTTCATTTGAACTCAGTAGCTAAGTGGGTAAAGCGATGGTATTTGGAGTTAAATGTACTAGCTTCAAGTCCTGGAGTGAACATCAACTCTGAAATGCAACCACATCAAGCCTAAAAGTTTAAAATAATAAGACAAAACGCACGTTCTAGATTTCACTGCTAGCCACCATCTATATGTACTTAAAATGCTTGTGGCTTACTGGCAATGTCGAAGAAATCAGCACAGGATGAACATATGTCAAAAGAGACTGATCAATTGAAATTCTTAACATCAATTGGGAAGATTCAAACAACCACTCAATTAAAGGTATTCATTTACTTTAGTCTCAATAACATACGAATACATACACAGAAACTTTTGGTGAAATCTTATTGTGTGTATACCTTATACATATTCATTGGTAATAGTGATTTCAATTAAAATACTCCTGAAATAGTTCAAACCTAATTATCAAAAAAAGCGTAGAAATTGATTGAATTTCAGTCGCAGTTTCTACATTTAATATTGTGTAGTTTTAAACTATTCTATAATGGGTGAGAGAAAAAACAATTAGAAGTCTTATCGTTGAATATTTGACCGATTCCAATCACTCCATTACCAGCATTCGAAATAGTTGCCCCCAAATGCCCTGGTACGACCCACAGTGAGGAGAGTCCGGTCTCCCTATCGAAATGCTCTCATATGGCCACACAAATACAGCCTCTGTCAGGGATGTCCTACTCACTGCCTTCTCGCTACAGCGTGTTGTATACGGAATTGAGAGGACGAAAGCGAATGTCCAGAGGGAGCTTTAACCGGGTTGGTGGACACGGAAAGCACACCTAGGGGAGTTGGAAAACCCTGATTCCAAACCAATGGTGCACATGGGCTCCAGTATACTGAAGGAACAAATGGCGTATGAACCAATCGCTGGTCACCGGCTACCATGAGAATGCATCTCCTCACGATGCTCCACTGCCTTCTGGACTAGACCTTTAGGTCAAAGGCTCCGGGTGTGGCCCCCAAAGAAAACCACCTGCTTCAGTCTGGGCACCTGGGCAGTATTACAGCCCTCACACAAATCAAATTAGATTTGTGCGGCGCACATATATCTGGTGCTTCCTTATACCAATATTTGTGTGTTTAAATAAATAAATAAACATACAAATATATATTGCTTGTACAGTCTTAAATTAGGATTTTTTGGAAATAGGACTCTTCGTTGATGAACTTTATGTTTTCAATGATGAAATGAAAATTATACATCTATAAAAATATGTTAGTTAAGGTGTAAAGCTTTTTTTCAAAAAATTAAACAAATAGAATAGGGGAATATTTAAATAAAGGCTAAGGGTTCACGCATGAGACCGAAGGTCCTAAGTTCTATCCCCGTGACCGAGATCGTGGATGCGCACTGTTAAGGTGTCTCATAATACGACGAAACGGCCGTCCAGTGCTTCCAGATTTTACATTGTCGTTTATCTCCAATGAGTTCATGATCACAATCGAAAACATAATAAACTCTACAACCCATACTGATAATTGATTATAATCTTTTGAAAGAATTTTCACTTTATTTTGGGGTAGTTTGTAGTGATCATACACTCAAGTAAGGAAGAACAATCTTAATTAGTTAGTAAATAATAACAGTGTCTTGGTAAAATATGAAAACCATACATTCAATACTTCATTTGCACATTACTCATCAGTTGTCTCCAATCAACTTCATTGTTCCATAATTTCTATTGTTATTACAATTACTCTCTGTTTGCATTTCTGTTCTAATCAACCTTTTTCTGCCAGGCATACAATATCTAATTGGTGTTGCATAATACTTATTCCATTTAATGGTGTAGAATGTTACATTATTATTATTATTGTTATTATTATTATTAATGACTTTATTCTATATTATAATCTGGTACAATATAGAATTCTCAGCACGAGTTATTTCAACAAGTTTTTTCCCAAAAAATAAAACCAAAAAAAGCAACAACAAAAAACAGAAATAAAATATAAAAAAGGTTTAAGAAAATCTGACTTTATACAAATTATCGAATATGAGACATGCTTAAGAAGACAGGTTATTTACTAGGTCAACTCTAACAGCCTGTTCGTCACAAAGTAAATTTGCTAAGTAAGGTATTACAGAACTTTTATAGATTTGCTTGCGTGCATGGATTTTAATGTATTTACGTCTCGTTCTACCAGAAGATATACAAGGAGAAAGATATGAATGAAGCGGATGGTTAGAATCTGATAAGATAACACCTGTCAAGACTTTGCAAGACTTAAGATGTCTATCCACAAGCATATTAACAATGACTTCAAAAGATTCCCCACATACCTTGCAAACTGCCTTCAGCATTATACGCAAAATAGCAAAGTCTTTTCTCAAAAGCCCAGGAAAGAATAATGGAGAACAATATAAAATAATAGGTAATATGCAGGAGTTTACAAATTGTAAGAGTAAATGGCGAGTAATCCCAAAAGCGTGCAGCCTCTTTATGTAGTATGTCAAACGGTAAACTTTTTTCGATAACACTAAAACATGAGAAGACCAAGAAAGATCAGAGGAAAAAGTAACACCAAGATATTTGACCCTCGACACTGTGTTTATTAAGGAGTCTCCAATGGCACAAGCATTATGGGATCCCAACATAGAGTA